CATTCCTCTTCAGAGGGTCCTTCTGCACAGCCCTATATCCCACAGAAAATCCCACAATATCTGCTTTGAACTGGGCTATCTGAGTCCATACTCAGATGTGAGATTTTCTGCCTTGATGTCCTGGATTATAGGGCTGTGTGGAAGGGCCCTAAGTCTGTTCAGGGACTTCCAAGTTCCCCATTCTTGGTTTGCCTCATGGGGGGGGGGGTTGTCATCCATTTGGGATTTCCTGGTTTAGCTGCCCAGAGGGATGCTCTTGCTCTTGCTGGGGGAACATTAAGATGAGTAGTGGTTCTCATGAAGTTTTCCTTGATTTGAGTCTACTGGGAGGAGGCTGATTCCTTTCACAGTTAGCAAGGTGGGCAATGCTAGCTAGCTGGTAGAGTTTATCAACAGGTGTAGGTTTAAGACATCCTGTGATTATTCTGCACGTTTCATTCAGTGCTATGTTCACCTGCTTTGCATGGGCAGACTTGTGCCAAACTTGGCAGACATACTCAGCAGTTGAGTAAGACAATGCCAAAGTCGATGTTCTTAATAATTTTGGGTCTGCACCACATGCACTGCCAGTAAATTTCCACAGGATGTTATTGCATGCATCTGTCAAGTAGGAAATTTAGGTATTGCTTTATGTGGGAAGGCTAATTTAACTATTTACGACAAAATAAAAAAACCTTCCAGCAGCGTGCGTAAGAATGAGGGAGTACTCCATCAAGGACTCGGTGTCAGAAGTGGATGGTGAAGCAGCAGCTCCCCCTGTGGCAAGAATCGAGCATATCCTCATGAAGCCGGAAAGCTGGGATGTTAAATTGCCTCTGTGTCTGTCTATATATGTTATATGTCTAATGGCATTGAATGTTTGCCATGTATATGTGCATTGTAATCCGCCCTGAGTCCCCTGTGGGGTGAGAAGGGAATATAAATACTGTAAATAAATAAATAAAGTACTCTGTGCTTGGTGTTTTTACATGGTTCCCAATTGGCTGGGCACCATGTAGACATTATCACATCTCCCCTTCCTAAAGGTCTTCATATATGCGCATTAAACATAACAATACAACATTACTTTTAATCAATTAATCTAATTAATTTAGAAAAGAGATTGACTTACACAGATTATTATATCAGCACCTACGTAGATTACTGACTAGTCTATCAAAATGGGTTCGAAAGGCTTGAGAAGCCATACTCATGTTGTGAGAGATAGAGAAAGCACCAGAGATGCAGACCTGCATCAACCAGATAATGTCTTTCTTAAAATTATCTGACAGGTTCACAGGAGAGATAGAATCTCAATAAGATTCGCCACAATCTTGCAAGCACTCTATTATTGGGATGCTTCAGCTGATGCATATTCAGAAAGGAGACATGAAGAGAAGTCTTCCTGCCTCAAAACTGCACTGTGCTTGCTCACTTTGACGTTTTTAGAATGACGGAATACAGAAAACAGAAATAACCAAGAACATCACTGCTGCAACACATTTATATTTATATGACTAATGCTGTTAAAGAGGGTTCATTTGGGACACCTCAGCAGGAATAAAGGTGTTGCTTCCCACATTTATGGGACCACAGTTAGCTATTGTTTATTGACTGCATAGAAATCTGACTATCTGAAACAGACAATACATTTTCTTCACTAGTAAGACAAAAGCCCTTATTTACCATTCCGATTAACTCTAGAATGTGAATCAGAAGCTGGAGTCTCAATGTCTGTGTTACAATTGTCTTGAATGCTCCCAAAAACTAGCAAAACAGCTTGATAAGAGGTAGTGGGAGAACAAGTTTTACTTTACAGTATCGTATTGCAAGTTAAGTGGGGTGCTAATATGAGGACCAAAAGGTAAACAATACATAAATCTGGCACCACAAGATGTAGAGCCAACCTTAAGAAATGGGGCTACAAAGTGGAGTCCACAACATGTGATAATTGAGAAAAGCAAACAACAGACCACATATTACAATGCAGTCTGAGCCCTACCACATATATAATGGAGGACCTCCTAATAGCAACACCAGAGGCACTCCAAGTGGCCAGCTACTGGTCAAAAAATGCCAAGTTTTAAAACTTTGTTGTTTTTTTGAATACAATACAGCTGTTTGGTTTGCTCCTCATACGATAAATAAATAATAGATAAATAAATAAATAAATAAATAATAGATAGCCAATAAATAAGACCAATCACCATTTTGTATCACTTATTAGCAAGACAGACTTATAAACCATCAAAGCTCAAAGTTTCATAACACATGATTTCCTTTCAACTCTGCTAGATTTAGGAAGAATGGTGTTGCAAGCCTCACTTAACCCAGGCCAGAGAGGAAGTCGCATGAGGATTGTGTAAGAAACAGCACAGAAAAGAGATTCAGCGGCTAAGTCTGAAAAATAGGTCTTAGTCCCTTTAAGTCACTGAGTCTCATTAGGCAGATGCTTCCCTACTGTCATGTCCAGCTTCTAAAACTCAGCTTCCCTGGCAATTCATCTTATCCATACCACCTGTTTCACCATCATTCCTACAACTATGAGCTCCATATGCAGAAGTTGTCACATTTTACAGGGGAGATGGGGTGGACTACATGACATATAGCTTCCACCATACTCTTCCCAGTTAATTCCTGTGGTCACACACATGCCCAAGGAGCCATGAATTTGCAACTATGGGAGCAGCAGAGTATTTCTCCCTTTAAAACAAGGAAAGTGTTTCCAGAAGCACAATTCACTAGTGAATGACACTGACAGGGATCACAGCTTGTTTTGAAGCAGAGACGATCAACTGTGTCTCTCTCCATATCAGGAGCCTACAATTCCCATTGCAGAGTCATTGGTGAGGTATAATGAGACTTTTCAGCTTAAGAACATCTGGAAGCCTACAGCTGTCCACTGCTGTTTTAAAGGGAAAAAGTCTATGTGTTTCTACCATCAGAGAAACAAAATTGGTGCCAGAAGCAGAAAGGAGGCCTATGGATGCTTGCAGGTTCAGGAGAAGCTGAGTATAAAGCAGTGGTTCCCAACCTTTTTTTGACCAGGGACCGCTCTCCAACATTAGCACCAAAAGGGTTACAAATCTCTTTTTGGTCAACTTTAGATTTGGTTTGGTTATTTGGAGTGCTGATTCAGAAAACTGCATTGGATAGACCACATCAGCTCTAGTTTCTGATACAGAACATGTGCCGTCCAGTAGTCTCCATCTGCTTGCCCACAGAAAACCATATTTAATAATCTAGAGCTGATGTGGTAGTAGTAATCTTTCAGTATCTCCCCTCCCAACATCCCTGTTACCTGTTACCTCAGCACTATAAGAGGCGATGGCGTAGTAATGGTGAGGCCCCGGACCATATTTTCATTCTTACAGACCACTGATAGTCCACGGACCACAGCCTGGAAACAACTGGTGTAAAGGAATCTGTAATTATGACCAGTTTGGAGGTGTACAACCCATCCACACGCAGTAAGGAAAAGGAAGTGTATGGAAGTAGGAGCTGTAACTATTTATTTATCTTCTATATCAGGGGTCCTCAAACTAAGGCCCGGGGGCTGGATACGACCCTCCAAGGTCATTTACCTAAATCTGAAATGACTTGAAAGCACACAACAACCACAACAATCCTATCTCATCATCCAAAAGCAGGCCCACACTTCTCATTGAAATACTGATAAGTTTGTATTTGTTAAAATTGTTCTTCATTTTAATTATTGTATTGTTTTTACACTACAAATAAGATATGTGCAGTGTGCACAGGAATTCATTCATGTTTTTTTCAAATTATAATCCGGCCCTCCAACAGCTTGAGGGACTGTGACCTGGCCCTCTGTTTAAAGAGTTTGAGGTCCCCTGTTCTATATCAATAAAAATGTAATGTGCATTTGTGGGATTAACATAACTCAAGAACCACTGGATGGATTGAGACCAAATTTGGACACAATACACGTATCAGACCAACAAGCGACTATCACTCATAAAAACACTGAAAAACACAATATAAGATACTTAAAAAGCTAATAAACAAAAATGCATTACAACGCATGAGCAAAACCACATATATACACAAACACACAAACATATATATACACACACACACACACACACACACACACACACATATATATAGACATATATACACAGAGAAAACACATATACACAGAGTGGGCCACAGCAACACGTGGCAGGGGAGGGCTAGTTTAGAATATTATAAGCATGGCAAACTACTGCCACTTTCTCATAAAGTCACAATGAAGTGATAAAAGGGATATAACCAAACTTGAAAAAAATAGATATAGATAGATAGACAGACAGACAGATAGGCAGAACTTATGGGGATAGTTTCCAAGGCAAAGGTCAAGAAGCTAACCAGACTGTCAGGTGGATCTTACTTCAAAATTACACTGGTTCTCAACCTGTGAATCCTCGGGTGTTTTGGCCTACAACACCTAGAAATCCCAGCCAGTTTACCAGCTGTTAGGATTTCTGGTAGTTGAAGGCCAAACATCTGGGGACCCACAGGTTGAGAACCACTGTGCTAGAACAGTATTTTCCACCCCTCGGGTAGCAAGCCAAGTAAGGAGACTCAAGATACCCATGTGAAATATCATATCTCTGTCCTCCAACCAACATCACTCTGCCCAATGACAGAGGCAGCCCTGATAGTCCCAGACCTAGGCTGGCTTCCCAAACCCCTACTGTAAAGAGCCAGATGTAAAAATATATTACATAAAATAATGTACATTTAAGATACTGTGTTAAATGAACCATAGAACAAACAGAGGGAGACCATCAGAGCATATAATGTTTCAACCAACGTGAATCTTTTGTCTTCCAGTTAGAATCAAATACATATTCCAAAGGCCAACCAAACATCCAGAACCACCTACAAATGCCCCACGATTACAAAGGACAATGTATATATTTTTTAAATTATAAAACATAAACCCAAACCCACTGAACATCAGAAGAGAAATGGAACAAACAAATACAGACAGAAAGAAGATCACAAACACTTACCTTAATCGGCGCACTGCTGAACTGAATCTTCCTGTTTGTTGGGATATCTTCTTCTTCTGGCAATCCAGTAATTTCAGAACATTCTGTGTCAGGTTCGTAAGAATAATTTTCATCACTGTCTTCCTGGTCATCTTGTTCTGTCCCTGTCTCTCCCCAGTCTGAATTATATCTTGATCGTACCCTGTAGACATTGTAATCGGAGTGCATGTACACATGAGTACTCTGAAAGTTATTCAAGTCTTCCTGAGCTTCCTTTCCATTTGTATCTTCACAGTGGGTGCCAACAGAATGTGTGGCACTGGCTTCAGTAATTGCAACGCTATCACCAGCTATTAAATTTCCGGATATTTCTGCTGCTTCAGCTCCATCCGAGATCTTTTTCTTTTCTGAAGACGGAACTTCAGGCTCTATTTCCGCCTTATTCCTGGTAAAGCTTTCGCCAGCATTCTGTCTTTTGGGCCCATCTATTGATTCCGGCTTAGTGGTTTCACAGGTGTCAACAAAATCACAGCAGGTACCCTTGTTTTGTATTCCAGTTGTTTTTACATCGGGCAAAATGCTTTTAGAAATGTCATTCACTGATGGAGACCTACTACTGGCTTGTTTAGAGTTCTCAACAGACACAGAAGTGGTGCTTTCTTTGGCTACAGGAGGCCAAGCATTGACATCTTTAATGGGACTAAAATCATCGTGCTTTGTGACAGTGGATGATAGATCTGTGTCCACTGAAGACAAATTTAGCGGGTAGTGACCTGTTACGGAGTACTCTTCATTGTTCTCTGCTTTTTCTGAAACAATACTTTGCTGTGCGTCTGTATTTTCAAACACGGCGCTGAGTTGACTCACTGTGGGGGAAACGGCCTCTGTCCTCGAACTAAGGCTGTCCAGGGAATCTGAACTTCCCCTGTTAGACTTGGAACTGCACCACTCGTCTTGAAGTTCGTTATTCGAAACCGATCTCTCTTTCTTTGGGGAGAAGTGACTGGCGTGCCCTGGTTCATGAGTATTCCTTTCAAACAATTTCCGTGTTTCAGTAAACTTGGAATACGAAGGACCATCGTGCATAGCATCGAACCTACTAATCCTTTCCGAAACGGTAGACTCTAACTTCACAACAGATCCATCTCCTTTCTCCACAAATTCTTTGGGCCTAATTCTTCTTTGAGGCGACACCTGACCCCCTTTATTTCTGGTCTTCACCATGCCACTACCGCTCTCATTGGGCTCCATGCCCATTTGCATGAATAAATTTTTAATCCTGTTGACATTAGATCCATATTTCCTCCCCCTGGTTTGCTGGGAAGCCTCTCCTCCATCTTTTGTCTTTTGTTCCCCATCCAACTTAGGCTTGTCAAAGGTGCTTTTCAATGCTTGGAACTCAGTCCTATACGCATTCCTGTGAGGAGAAGCGCTGCGGAGGGTCGATCTTTCCCCTGAACTTATCTTCATCATGTTTACTTTTGGAATGTTAAACCAACATACATAGCGGCTGCTGCACCCAACCAATTCCACCAAGGTTTGCAGGGTGTGCTTAAAAGGCACTAGATTTCCCCAGGGCCATACTCAGGGACGGAGGAGCATCCTCTAGATACGGACCAGCAAAACCCACATGGGAAACCAGATGACTTCCAAAAGAAAATATTGCTGCAACCTGCAATAGAAAGCATGATTTTGATTGACACTCTGGGTTTGTAGCCATTAATAATAACAATATATGTGTGTATTTGCATTAAAAGCATTGCATAAATTAGTATAAAACTGATAAAAATAGAAGGAGCACAAGTGGCTAAATATCTTTTGACCAAAAACGGGCAACAGCGACCACATTGTCTGTTTCCTCAAACAATTCTTCCTCTGTACATGAGGTGACGGACAATCATCATCATCATCATCATCTTTATTTATATCCCAAAAGGGACTCAGTACGGCTTACAATATACCGTGGCGCAGTATATAACATAAACAAAACATGAGTATAAAACAATATCTCATAAAAATTATAAAGCAACCACTATCAACACATAAAATAAAATAACACAATTGAGAAATTCAAAACTATCAGTAGTTAAAACTAGCTGCCATCAATTCAAACTAAAGTGCCATTTCAGCCTACTTGATGCCAAAAGCCTGCTTGAAAATCCATGTTCTTAGGCTGGATTGGGAAGATTCAAGGGTGGGGGATAATCTAATACCTTTCAGGAGGATATTCCAGAGCTGGGGAGCCACCACCTATAAGGCCCTCTTTCTCATCCCCACCAATTGCACTTGAGACAGTGGTGGGATCAAGAGAAGGGCCTCCCCTGTCGATCTGTAAGCCCGTTCTGGTTCATAGAAGAAGATGCGGTCTCGAAGATAGGTTGGACCTGAAGCGTATAGGGCTTTGTCAGTAATAACCTGCACGTTGGATTGAGCCTGGAAAGTGGTCAGAAGCCAGTGGAGCTGCTTTTGTAGGGGCATAATATGATCCCTATAGCTAACTCCAGTTAGTAATCTAGCAGCTGACCTTTGCACTAACTGCAGTTTCCGAACCGTCTTCAAAGGCAGCCCCACGTAGAGTGCACTACAGTAGTCCATTCTGGATTTAACTAAGGCATGGACCACCGTGGCCAAGCCAGGCTTTTCGAGGTACAGAAAGCCTTTGAAAGCACAGTTGGTGAACAAATGCTCTGCCACCTATCCTATTTAGGTACAAAGGTATTATTCACATTAATGTATTGTCGGAATGTATTTCATGGCTGAAATCACTTGTTGTTGTGTTTTCCAGGCTGTATGGCCATGTTCCCAAAGCATTGTCTCCTGACGTTTCGCCCGCATCTCTGGCAGGCATCCTCTGAGGTTGTGAGGTCTGATGAAAACTAGGAAAATTGGGTTTATATATCTGTGGTACGTCCAGGGTGGGAGAAAGAACTCTTGCTTGCTTGAGGTAGCTGTGAATGTAGCAACTGGCTGCCTACCTTAAACAGATAAGAGTTCACACCTACCTCAAATAGAAAAATTGGGTTTCTCCCACCCTGGACATTCCACAGATACATACATTCTAGACAGGAAACAATCAGGGTGATAGTATGATAGCTGGGTCCGGAAGCTCTGTGGCTGTGAATAAGGGAAGAGAGGGGGCGGAGTGAGAGCGAAGGAAGGACAGAAAGGAGGGGAAGCTTAGGATAAGGCAAGGTTTAGGGTTTGGGTTTGGGTTAGGGTAAGGGTACAGTTTAGGGTTAGAGTAAGGTTTAGGGTTTCAGTTTCAGTTAGCATAAGGGTTAGGGTAAGCGTTTGGGTAAGGTTTAGGGTTAGGGTAAGGGTTTGAGTAAGGGGTTAGGCTTAGGCTTAGGGTACAGTTCAGGGTTAGGGTAAGGGTTAGGGTATCACCATTAGAGAACTTACATTCCTTCTATATTATCTGTCTCCGGCCTGACTTGCATTAGCTAAGTGTCTCTTGCGGCATCTCCATAACGTTCAGCGCTTCCGGACCCAGTTATCATACTATTACCACAATCAGGGCCACCTAACACCTACCAATAAAGGATCCCCCAAGGTAGGAAGCAGTCAGGCCTTGAATCTGCAAGGCCATTCAATGCTAATCAAAGTACCCAATTGTAACATTCACACTTATCTCAAACAATCAAGAGCTCTCTCTCCCACCCTGGACATTATTCCACAGATATATAAACCCCACTTGCCTAGTTTCCAACAGACCTCACAACCTCTGAGGATGCTTGCCATAGATGTGGGCAAAACGTCAGGAGAGAATGCTTCTGGAACATGGCCATACAGCCTGGAAAACTCACAGCAACCAGTGATTTCAGTCATGAAAGCCTTCGACAACACTCTGCCACCAATCCTATTTAGGCACAAAGATACTATTCACATTATTCTCCATCTTACAGTCATTATCATAATGATTGGACACCAAATATGCATCTTATTCAGCCTTGAAACAGAACTGCATTTTGTTATATTCCTTGAAATGGTGACAAAAAGACCCAGGTAGGGTTGCAACATTTCGCAAAGGGATGGTGTGGAAACGCAGCCATATCGGAAGGGACCAAAACAGCCGCACTTTGCAGTCCTGTGCCACCTTCATTTTCAAGACCCCCAACATTGGTCAAATAGAAATCAATGACACTGCTTCCCGGCAACTGGAAAGATGCAGAAAACCATCTACAATGAGGCTTTGCAAAGGGTTCATTGGACTTGCCTGTTCCTTGGGTGGCTGCTACCTTCAGCATGACAAAAGAACGGTGCGGAAAGGTAACGAGGAAACCGGGAACGGAGAGCCAAAGCAGCAGCAGCAGCAGGAAGAAGAAGAAGGAGAAGAACAGCCGGCTGGAAAACCTCTCAGTTTCCCAACACAATCGGTGCGCCGGGTGGCATTTTATATGAATCCCGAGAAGGAGGGGGAGGCGGGCAAAATTGGGTCCCTTGGCGTCGTTTAAATCGTGAACGAAGAGGAGGAGAGATGGAGACACCGACGGGGTTTGTTTCCAGCTTCCAGCCCTGAAGAAATACAGAAAGAGCGGCACATGACTAATAATAAATACAAGAGGAGGAGGAGGAGGAGGAGGAGGAAGAGGGGAGGAACCAAATCTCTCCTGTTTCCTCGGCAGTTACAACTCCTCCCCGGAGATAGAACCTGCCCAGAGCCGACACAGGCACACATACACGTGTCTAGGCTCTTTAGGGTTCTCCTGGAGGGGTTTGAGACCCTCTAAAAACCCGCATTTGCCTCCCTCCTTGGACAAACTCGCGCCCTTCTTTCGCCTGCCTCGGTGCCTTTGGCGACTCCTTGGCGACCTCAAACCGCCTCTCTCCTGCTGTTTAAACCTCCCCAAATCCCTTCTTTTCACCCAGATCTGGCTTCCTCAAAGCCTCTTCTCTCTCTCGGTGTCTAATCCGGGATGGGAAGGGAGGAAAAAGGGGGCAATAAAGGGGCTCCGTTGGGAGGGAAGCGCCTCGAGCGCGGTGCGTAACCGAAGGCGCACGAGAAGCTTTTCCTATTTTCCTGGAGCGCAAAAAATAAAGCCCGTTTTTGGAATCATTTCCTTTCAATTTGGGTTTTTTTTCGGTCTGTCTGGAATTGGGGAAAGATACAAAAGAAGCAGAGGTATTAGGAGAGAAGGGTGAATGTGGATAAGCGGGAGAAAGGAGGATAGATCTTGATGGTTTTCTGCCCTTTGCCATCCTATCCAGTGTCTCCAAAAACAAGGACGCTGGAGAGTCTCTCCAAGTGCCAAAAAGGGGGGAGCAAAAGCACCTTGCAATGAAGGACTGCAACAGGAGGGCTGTGGAAGAATGCACACATATACACACACAAGGAGCAGAGCCAAAGGGCTTTTCGGGGGAAACAAAAGCCTCTCTTGCTCCTGCCGCAGGAGGAAAAGGAGCTCCCCTTTCGGCACTCTCCAAACACACACACACACCTCGGCTGGCAAGGGAGGGAGGAGTGGGCAAGCTCAGAGGCGCTCTCCCCTGCTTTCCCTGCCCTCCTTGGCTTCTGCTGGTGCAGCTACACCGCTGCTGCAAGGCTTCTGGTCAAAGCGGTGGCAGGAAGAGCCATTGCAACAGCAGCAACCTCCAGCCTCGGGCTCCTCGGCAACGCCATTGCAGGCGGCGGGGAGGCTGCGCTCTGAGTTGGATTGGATTGCAGGGAGGAGGAGGAGGAGGAGGAGGAAGGTTCCCGCGCTCAGCCCAAGCCCGGCTTCCCGCCTCCAAAGGGACGGCTTTGCATTAGCCTCGCCTCCTTGGAATGGATCTACAGTCTAGAACAGCCAGTAGGCTGTTAGGAATTGTGGGAGTTGAAGTTCAAAACACCTGGAGGGCCCAAGTTGCCCCATGACTGGTCTAGACACCTAGTCATACCTTATAGCTTGAGTGCTCTAGCTGGAGGTCAGCTGTGACCAGCAGTGCTGTAGAATTTGAAGAGGCACGAATGGAGGGCTTAAGAGAAATGCACCAAGAGGAAGGCGCATCAAGCCAATTCCTGGTAATAATAATAATAATAATAATAACACTTTATTTATATTCCGCCCTTTTCACTCCGAAGGGGACTCAGGGCATATCACAGTACACATACACTGCAAACATTCAATGCCGCTTTGTATAGACAATACACCAGGCCCGTAGCCAGGATTTCATTTCGGGGGGGGGCTGAATTTTTTTCAGGGGGGGTTTCGGGGGGGCTGAGTCTGAGTGAAAGAGGGTCTAGCCTAGCAAACCTTTTGTATCATTACCCCAATACCCCCATGCATATGGGATATATTGAGTATGGTGATCAGATCATGATATGAATAAACATAACAGTTTAAATAATGCACCAGTAAGGCCTTCTCGTGGACCACCATGAAAATTTCGGGGGCTGAAGCCCCCCAAGCCCCCAATGCCGCTTTGTATAGACAATACACAGACAGGCAGAACAGAAGGAGGTGCCATGGAAGGTTGGGCTCGAGTCCAGGGGGCGCTGTTGCTCAGTCCTCTATGACCAAGAGCCGTCAGGACTTCCTCCTTCCTTTTGGTCGCCCAGCATTTTCTGATCTTCTTTCTTTATGGTGTAGTAAAACACCGT